GTGTGTGTGTGTGTGTGTGTGTGTGCTTGCGTGCGCGGGCATTGATTTATATATCGACAATTTATACCCAGCGGCATTTAAACAAAAGAAGAACAGCCGGAGAACGAAGAGAGGAAGGAAGCATGGAGGATGTGAAGGAGACGGATATTGAGAAGAAAGGCGTGAATAGAGCGCCGGAGGAGATCGCAATTCTTCGATGAAAAGTGTTTCTCGGCGTGAGAGCGCCTAAACAATCCCCACACACAACATCGCATCAGACGCTTTACGAAGCTCCCCCCCCCCCTCCCCCTCCCCCCTCCCCCTCCCCCCCCTCCCCCTCCCCGCGTTCGTTGACGCGTGATCGCGCATTCGCTCTGTCATCAATGCCGCTTACACGTATAAATAAATACGCATTATATTCGTCGGTCGTTTACCGCTTATCGCCGCCGTCCATGCGTCTCGCTCGCATCCCGCCGACGTCGGCGCAGTACCCGACGTCGTCGTAAAATAATTCCGCCTTGGTCGTTACTCATGATCTGTGCTTGTTTATTACACAACGGCGCACGCGTACGCGAGTGTGAATTCACGGTGATATCTCGTATACGACCGTTTAACACCATTATACATAATAAATATGTATTATGTGAAATCCTAAGCGAATCACTAGGTTCGATATGTATTCCGATTAGTTATGTACGTTAGATTGATTTAATAGCTTTGATTAATTAATTTTCTTTAGTCTAATTCATAATATTCGTGTCATCGTGTTCGATATGTCAGATCGATTTTATGAATCGAGTTAAATTAGTGAAACAGATTATATAACTGGTTAAATTTTCCTGCGTCTCCCGAGGACTATTTGTTTTATATCGATTCATGAGGTTCGATTAGTTTCGTAGGTTGTTTCGGTTCGATAAGTTTGATCATATTCATACAGTGGCTTCGCTCGGTTTACCTTTCGCCACTTCCGCGGGCGCCCCTTGTGCGATCTTACTGCGTCTTACTGCGTCTTACTGCGTCTTACTGCGTCTTACTGCGTCTTACTGCGTCTTACTGCGTCTTACTGCGTCTTACTGCGTCTTACTGCGTCTTACTGCGTCTTNATGTGTCGCTGTAGTTGTTTAACCTCATCCGTTACAAGCGCCTGCAATAATGACACTTAATGGTTCAAGAATAGAGAAGCATGGGTTCCAATAAAACCTAATGTCATTTACATCAATATAAAATAAATATTAATATCAAATAGAAGGTTAGGTTATGCCTATGGTTAGGGTTACATACACGCAGCCAACCCTACCGCTTACCGTAAGAGCTATTACCGCTTTTTGAACGACTATCTAACCGCCTACCGCTTTTTAATACTATTCCTACCGCATTGCGCAAAATATTTTGAAAAAACATTCTTTTTTTTTCATATTTTTTCATTTTATCTCTAAGTAAATGTATGTAAATGTATCTCTAATGTATTCTATTGCAGTCCAATTAACTGCCCAAGAATGGCAGGAGAAGGCAACATTTAGCACCAATTTTTTGAAAATTTTCCTGGGGGGCATGCCCCCAAGACCCCCTAAGCGGCGCGCGCCGACTGCGTCGCACCGGATACTACCCACTTTTCATTCAAAAGGTTTGGCATGTATGGGTTAGGGTTTAGGATTAAAGGTTAGAGGGTTAATGGGTTATAGCGCACATGGTTTTATGGGACCCATGTTCTCTATCCTTGGGGCCCGAATTAATCTTGTATTTAGTTTTGGAAGTTTGGTATTAAGTACAATTCGTGATTATTCACTGTATCATTTTATTATTAAAATGGCTCGTAGTCGTATGTTTACACATTTAGTTTATTTCCAGTCTATAAGTTGAGAATTGAGAATCGAGACTAACTTCAGAGATTAAACTAACTTAACACATGTGACATAAAGAGTCGCAATCGCCTTCGTATCCACGTTCGACTTACTTACTAATAGTAATCCAACAGGCCACTTGACGTTTCAATAGATAAAAAATGAGGTTAATTAAATAACAACTTGTAGTAGCCTATACTAACAGTAGCAGCAATAGTCCCTTAATGTTTGATTTGACCTCAATAACGTCACCTCAACACCGTTCAATACAGCCGCGCAACACATAAGCCCGCACGCCATTTAAGTGCATGCATACAAATACACAGTAGATAGTAGATAACTCCGCTGATCTACTGTGTATTTGTGCATGCACAATGGCGTGCGGCTATGTGTTGGCAGCGGTGTAATTGAACGGTGTTGAGTGAACCATTATTAGTCAAATCAAAACATTAAGACTATTGCTGTACTGTAGTAGTAGGCTACTGTCTAGCTCTAGTACTATAGCCCGCGGTTCCTGCCGGCAGCGAATCCGCGGGAATAGTACTAGAGCAGCTACTGTCGTACTGGACCAGTTGTAGTTTATTCCACGCATCAATTTTATTATTGAAACGTCCAAGTGCGCTGTGAGTAATACTACTTCGAACCTGCAGCCATGCACGCCCGTAACCTAGTAGTAGTAGTAGTACTACGTGCTGCCAGGCAGCTGTCGTCGGAAGCGCACCCGGTGCGTGTTAGATTTGCTCCGAGTCCAACCGGACAACTACACCTTGGTGGCCTTCGCACGGCCCTGTACAACTACCTGTTTGCTAAGTCACATGGCGGGACATTTATACTGAGAATTGAGGATACTGACCAGACAAGGTATTATGTTACCGGTATATCTACAGTACTGATCGAATTGGCACGTGGTCGGTCATATGTACAGCAGGATAGCTTTCGGTATATGAAAAGCATTAATTGTAGTCATAGTTGTTCGCCAAGTTAGTTTGTATACTGATTATGAAAATAATCACTTTCACCTGCAAAATATGCATGAGTACAGAGACGGTCTTTTTCTAATTATCATGTAATGTTATCGCATTTTATCAAATAATTTCGTAATGAACTCCACATACTATACTGTGAAATTGTCGCACAACATGGCGAATGTTTGTTTCTGTCGACTTTTCACGTTTATAGGTATCGTTTTTCATCACTCAACCTCCTTCGATCGTAGGTTGGTTCCTGTAGTATCTGTGTCCTGTTCATCATTCAACCTTCATCAATCGTAGGTTTGTTCCTGTAGTATTAGTTGACTGTTCATCACTCAACCTTCATCAATCGTAGGTTTGTTCCTGTAGTATTAGTCGACTGTTCATCAATCAATCTTCATCAATCGTAGGATTGTTCCTGTAGTATTAGTCGACTGTTCATCACTCAATCTTCATCAATCGTAGGTTCCTGTATCAGTATCCGGTCCATCACTACCTCCTTCAATCGTAGGTTCCTGTAGTATTAGATAATTAGTATCCTGTCCATTACTCGACCTCCTTCGATAGTAGGTTTCTTCCTATGTCTGTATCCTGTTTCGATCATAGGTTAGTTCCTTTATCAGTATCCTGTTTCGATCCTAGGTTGGTTCCTTTATCAGTTTCCTGTTTTGATCACAGGTTAGTTCCTTTATCAGTATCCTGTTTCGATCGTAGGTTAGTTCCTGTATCAGTATCCTGTTTCGATCGTAGGTTAGTTCCTTTATCAGTTTCCTGTTTCGATCGTAGGTTGGTTCCCGGAGCGCAGGATAATCTTGAGAGCTTGCTCACGTGGGCGGGGCTCATCCCGGACGAGGGGCCCACGCAGGGTGGCGACTACGGCCCCTACGTGCAGTCTCAGCGGCTGCACCTCTACCGCGACGCAGCCCAGCAGCTGATCGACGACGGCAGCGCCTACTACTGCTTCTGCACCGAGCAGCGGCTGCGGCTGCTGCGCCGCGAGGCGCTGCGCAACGGCGAGACGCCGCGCTACGACAACAGGTGCCGCCACCTGTCGCGGGCGGACGTCTCGGCGCGGCTCGCGGACGACGCGCCGCGCTGCGTCCGCTTCCGTCTGACGGCGAGCGACGTCGCCGTCGACGATCTCGTTATCGGCGCGTCGGCGCCGCACGACGTCGCCGCGCTAGAGGGCGACCCCGTCGTCGTCAAGGCGGACGGCGGCGCCACCTACCACCTCGCAAGCGTCGTCGACGACCGGCGCATGCGCGTCAGCCACGTGCTGCGCGGCTGCGAGTGGCGTTCGTCGACGGCGAAGCACGTTCTCTTGTACCGCGCGCTCGGCTGGTCGCCACCGGCGTTCGGACACCTGCCGCTGCTCGTTGACGCCGGCGGCGCGAAGCTGTCGAAGCGTCGCGACGACGCGAGCGTCGGTCGTCTCCGTGACGACGGCTTCCTCCCGGACGCCGTGCTGAACTATGTCGCCCGCGCCGGCGGCGGCTTCGGCAAGGACGACGGCCGCGCGCGCTCGCTCGCCGACCTCGTCACGCGATTCGACATCGCCCGCGTCAACGCCAACCCGAGCCGGCTTGAACCCGAACGACTGCTCGCGCTCAACGGGCAGCTGCTGCAGCGCCACCTGGCGGACGGCGGGCGACGGCGGGAGCTTTGCGGCGAGGTGCGTCGGATCGTCGGCGACGCGTTCGGCGCCGCCGCCGGGGAGCTGAGGGACGAGCGCGTGCTGCGGGTGCTGGACTGGGCGGCGGCGCGCATTCGCACTCTGTGCTCTGCGCGACCTCGTCGGCGACGACCTCGCGTTCGCGTGGGTCGCGCCGCGCCGCTTCGACCACTTCCGCCTGACGTCGCGCGCGGCGGCGCCGCGCGCGCGCTCGCCGTCTCGTGGCAACGCTGGAGCAGACGCCACCTGGAGTATTCGCCGCGAAGCCCTCGGGCTGCTCTGGGCGGAGGGAGCGGCGCGCGGCGGGCCGCGCTTTCGGACGCGATGCGGCCGCGCGGCTCCGCGCTCAGCGGGCTGGAAGGACGGCCGAGCGTTTGCCGAGATGCTGGAGGTGCTGGGGAAGGAAGAGAGCCTGGCGCGGCTGCGTCGCGCGGCCGAGCAGTGCTGTTTGTGACACGCGCACGCAGGTGTGGTGACGACGCCGCGTCGCCGAGCAGGTGTGGTGACGATGCCGGGCAGGTATGGTGACGACGCCGCGCAGGTGTGGTGACGTCGCCGAGCAGGTGTGGTGACGACAGCCGAGGCAGGTGTGGTGACGACGGCCGAGCAGGTGTGGTGACGACGCTGAAGGGCAGGTGTGGTGACGACGCCGAGGCAGGTGTGTGACGACGTCGAGCAGGTGTGGTGAACGAACGCCGAGCAGGTGGTGGTGACGACGCGCGGAGCAGGTGTGGTGACGACACCGAGTCAGGTGTGGTGACGACGACACGAGCAGGTTGATGTGACGACGCCGAGCAGGTGGGGTGACGACGCCGAGTCAGGTGTGGTGGACGATGCGGAACAGGTGTGGCTGACCCACGCCGCGTCGGCTAGCTGCACTGTGTGCTCGTGACAGATCGTGTTGGCGGAGAGTCGTTCTAAGATTCACGGGTCCTCATAGACATGTGTCCGTTACGTGACAGAGTGCATCTTTAGTGTGATAGAAACATCTTGCTACGTGACACACACACCCACTCGACAATAGCATGTCTCTGTGTACATCTTGTCCTGTGTTGACACAGTGTGTGTCTCTACATAACAGAGCGGGTGTCTACGTCGACGGAGCGTGCGTTTGGCAGCAGAGTCGTCCGAAGCATTCTCCAAGTTTTCCTCGATTGCCACCTAATCACCCGCATGTGCGCCGATAGGTGTTGATTTTCTAAAGCATTCTAAAGAACTAGGCAATCCGTGTTCTTGATATGCGTCTGTGTGACAGTGTCTTAAGCAGAACCCGCTGGGAGTACAAAAACACTGGCCGAATGACGGCAATCTCCCAGTGTCAAGCTTGACATAATGCTCCAAAAAATAAGATGACCTAACGATCTTTCATTTTCCGCCCCATACAACTACTTATACTAAAAAGTTCTAGCCAAGTACTGAAAAATGACCAGTAGAGAAAAATCAAAGTATATTCACTGTGTTATTTGAGTTTGTCACCTAGGTCTTCCAGTGTGTTTACGAAATC